AATAGTTTTGTTGGACCAGACGCATTGAAATTTTCCAGACATCACATATATATATATATATTTATATATATATATATATATATACGTATATATATATATATATATAATATTAATTTTTAACGTATTCAAAAGAATTCAGCTCTTAATTTTTTTCAAACAATTGAAATATTTGGTTTATTCAGTCCTTTAAGAAAACAACTATTGTGAAAAATATTAAAAAAGGGTACAAATTGACAAAAATATATAAGTATGCAGAAGTGAAATTTAAAAAAAATATAGATCATTTGGATGAAAAATGTCTCATACTTGAATACTTTTGATGAAAATCAACGGATTAATAAATAATTAATCCCCTACCAACTCAACAGTAATCCTTGTACTTCCTTTCTAGAAACATTCCCTATCGATAAACTAATAGAGTGCTTAGAGATATTCTTAAATCTTACTTTAGTTTTATGTAATCTCTGAAGAATAAACCTTTTCTGCAGAAGATATAGTTTAAATACGAATGATTCCTGAAATACTTATTACTTTACTACTTTGCATTTTTTTATGTGATAAGCATATTTCCGTATGTCAAATATCAGTACACTAAAGCATCGATATATATGTTTTTATCAGAACATATATGTTCTATGCATATGTATTCTATACTTCTTATATGACACATATGACCTCAAATAACAATACTTTTCAAAATCTGACTAAAATGCTGATAAATAACGTTAGAATTCGAAGAAAATTCATATTCTCAAAGTAGTTATGTATTTCAATGCTCATAATACACTTCAAAAAGCATCTCATAATAGCTGCAGAAAATTGCAGATAGTTTGAGGTGCTAAGATGTCGACGATAATGTTTACCATACAGTAAAGAGATAAAACAAATAGTTTATACACTCTCAGAAATATACCTCTCATTTCTATCGATTCAGCAATCTTTGACCAGTATTTCGTTAATATTGAAAATATATATCATCAATAATCCCAATATCACGTGATTTCTTACGAAACGCGAACTCTCAAATATATGACAAAAAATTTTCCCCAACTCGGAGCTTCATCGCAGTGCATTGTGAGAAATTGTTAGCTATTATGATAAAACTTGAATGAAGACTAGAGGATCGAAATTATAATAACGAAATATCTCTTTATTTTTGACAGAATACGTTTTTTCGAAGAAGTGACGATAGTTATTTCGTCACTTGGACGAAAATTTCGCTCGGAGCATATACCAGGAAACAGTTTCGACTAAAACGAAAAAAGTTTCCTGAAATTTGAGAATCCATTTTTTGTTGAGAATTTCAAGCAAAAGTCATAAGAGAATATTACGATTATTAGATCAAAAAGATTACATTTAAAAAAACTCCGGATAAATTTACAGTAAAATGCACTGTCTCTTTGGGTGCTGGTACTTTTTACCGTTAAATCGAGTTCTGCTGTAAAATCTTACAGAGCAAAAAAATTTAATACACGTGATTTAACGGTATTATTTTTTACAAAATCACTGAATCAGGATAATTAAATAAATATTATTGTAAAAATTACGGTACAAAATTTTACGGCGAAATGGATTTTGCGGATGATGCATGATTCAGAATTCGTTACAGCGTAGGTATGGAACCCAGATAGAATGTTTCAAACAAATCATTGTAAAAAATTATTTGCATTCAACAAATGTATTTATATTTTAAATACAAGCTCCTAATTCGCTTTATGCTTTCTAAGATATAAATGCTTAAGGAAAGTATTTTTTAAATATGGAAAGACAGAATACGAAAATACCAAAACTTTAAAAACACTTAGAGAGTCCAACTTTATTATTGAACTCTTTACTAAATGCTCTAATACTTTAATACATACTAAAGTCGCTGGGGATAACATATTACTATTTTCAAGTTTCATAATAATTTGATGTAATAACTCTATACTTGATACATTTCTGAAAGGTTTCTGTAAGGTATTAGAGTGAAATCTGAATTGCTTTAAAAGTTGACCCATTGATTTCCCGTTAGAGTATTCACGATTGACTATCGGAAATCAAACATTCAAAAAAACTTCTCAGGTTTAGATTAATGTTTAACATTTTAAAATAGCTTTATATCAATTTTCAACAAACAAAATGACTCAAAATTAGTTATCTAGTTTAGTTTCCAAAACTTTAAAAACGCCTAGAATGTAAAAAAGTATTATTGAATTCTAAACTAAAAGCTCTAATACTTTTTTGCTGTATACTGAGATTCACTGGAGCTAGTATATATATTACTATTTTTAGGTTCATAACAATTTCATGTAATAATTATACTTGAAACATTTCCGGAAGGTATTATGGTGAAATCTTAATTGCCTTAAAAACAGATCTATTGATTTCCCGATCGAATATTCACGATTAAATTTCATAAGTGAGGCACTCAACAAACTTCAAAGGCTTAGATTAATGTTTATCATTTTTGAAATTTAGGTATCAAGTTTAGTCTCCAAAACTTTAAAAAACTTAGAAATGCTAAAAGCTCTAATACTTTTTTGCTGTTTACGAAGGTCACTGTAGCTAACATATATATTCCTATTTTCTAAGTTCATAATAATTTTATGTAATGATTATGCTAAAAAAATTTCTGGAAGGTTACTGTAAGGTATTACGGGGAAATTTGAATTCCTACAATAATTGGAATCATTGATTTCCCGTTTGAATATCCACAATATTTTTTTTTTTTGGAAATGAAACTTTCAACGAGCTTTTAAGTTTAATTACTGGTTAATTAAGTTTAATTAATGAAATATTAATAAGACTAATAAATGTTTATTCCTTTTTTTAAAACTAACTTCCTAACTACTTTCAAAAAAGCTTTTACAAAATATTAAACATTTCAAAAATCATACAAAAAGTATTTTAACTCTTTTTAAATGAAAAACATGAAAAAGATGTATGTCCTTTTTCTCTAAAAGAGAAAATGAAGTGTTAAATGATTCTGGTAAGAATGTAAAAAGTTCATTTCTTTTAGATATTTGTTTTGGATTTTTATGATTATATTTTTATCCTTAAACTTTTAATAAAACCCCCAGAAATCTTCTCAATCGTTATATTTTTTACTGATTGTCTTCCACAATCCGCAATATTTTGAAATAGGACCAAAAAAAAAAAGAAAAATTTCTCTTATTTCTCATTTTCTAGGAAATGAGGACTGATTGAAAATCAAAACTAAAGTATCTGAGGTATCAGGGAAAAAGATTAACGTACAGTGACAAATGAAAATTCTTGGGAAAATCGAGATTGTTAAAGGTCTAGACAAAATTCCTTCGCGTATAGTTATGGGGCTCTTAACTTGCATATCTTTTTTTTCTTTGATGCAAGAATAACAGAAGATATCGTGTAATACTATACCTTCATCTATAAAATAGTTATATATTTTGTTTGTTTTATATTACATTATTATAAAATTGTATGATGTAATGTTTAGTGAAAATATTAATTCGCAATAAGTCTTACAACTAAATAAAGCATTTTTAAGTTACATTGATGATACCATTAAGTTTGAGCCGTAAAAAGAAGAAATCTAATTGTTATATCAAAAGTTATATCTAATTATTAATCATTGTTATATCTAATTGTTAATCATTAACATATGGCTTATGATAAATAAAATATAATAAAATAAATTACAATTTTGATGAATATGCTTATTGCAATAATAATAAAGCACTCCAATGATATTTGAATCAAATATAGAAAAAATACTGTGATATTTTCAGTTAGTCACTACTTAACTTTTAAAAACGCAGATATTTATATTCTGAAAAAGCACTACTTACTGTTACTTATATTTAGTACTGTTTCACGGACATCGAGAATTGCACCACCTACAATTGAAAGTGATTAAAATACTAAATTATGAGTTTTAAAAACAGAAATTTATACTTTATTAAAACAAAAATTTATATTTTTTAAAATATAAATCGGAACTTGATATTTTAATGTTTTCAGACTCTGAAAATGACAAAAAGCATTTCGTTTTCTTTAAATGAAATACTATAGCTTTAGACTTGTTTAAGAAGCAAAATTGTAAGTGCCCGAAAAAAACATGCTGGTAAAATTTCCTTACTGTATGGTAATAACATTTCTGGTAAAAGAAAAATGAAAACATAATTCTTTTCTATAAAGCCAAAATATACGGTATTAAAACCATTCGTTTGGTAGCCGTTCGTATGGTAATGGTTTGCCCAGAAATCCTGTTTTTTTTTAATTATAGTTCTTATTAGTAAAGCAATATAGGATTGTAAAGTGAATTTAACCGAATAAAGAATTTTATGCCTGATATAACATGATAAAATTGCAAAATATTAACGCATACTATGAAACCATATTTTATTGTTACGTTTACCAAAGCGCTTCGGTAAAAATTACCCAGCTTTTTGGTGTTCTTATACAGCCAGAAATTTTACCGTATTCTGGTAGTTCCGGACATACTTACTTTTTCAGTGGGAAAAGGACACAATTATATAATGAGTAACTTATTGAATTCTTCTTTGTTTTTAAAAAATTCCTCAAAAATTCGAACTGAATATTACATTAAAAACTATGTTCTATTCACAAAAAGATATAATCATCTTTAAAAGTTACTAAATATTTTTTAAAATAATTGGGAAAAGTCAATTAATAAATTATTATTTGAATCTTTTGTGTTTTTTAAATGAGTACATTCTGTTTAAAATTTTAATTATGAAAAGAAATACATCGCATTAAGGTTGTGTCTGATTTTCCTCTTCATTGTAGAAATTTAAACAATTAACGTTTGGAAAGGGAAATCTCAATAGCATACGTTAATGAGTTATGCATTAGAGATTCAATTATAATTATAAAATCAAATTTCTATTCTTTTATCAGTCATAATAATAGTAGTAAGTCATTATCTAAATCAATGAAACTTCTTCAGTTACTGATTGAGATTTGACTGTACACTCTTGGAATTTTTCAACATTTTAGTGAGCATTTTTCAAATTAATTTTTTTTATAAATAAGTGATTTTTTTTAACCTTTTTTGTTTAAAATATAATTTGATTTATTACACAGAGACAAAAACATACTGGAAAAATTACCGTACATTATGGTAATGATTTTTCTGGTTTGAAAAAAAGAATAATTCTGGTTAATAAAACCAAAATGTATGGTATTTAAAGCATTCATTTATTTATTTTTCCGTCCGTATGATAACGGTTTACTAGAAATTCTGGTTTCCAAAATTATAATTCATACTACTACACATCTAGTAAAAAATAAAGAACTAAAAATAAATTTAACCAAATAAATGCTTTTTTTTTACTATGCTCCAAAGTATCATGATAAGATTACCAAATTTTACCAAATACTATTATATATTATGAAATCATATTTTAATATTAGTTTTACCAAAATTATTACAAAAGTGCATCGGTATAAATTATCGAGCTTTTTGGGGTATAACCAGAAACACGGTAAATTTTATCCCACTATGATACACTTTAATATTACCATAAAAAGCACCAGCACTCAGGGTGCTGGTACTTTTTAATGAAAAATCTACCTTTACCAGAACATATTATGGAACAAAAAATATGATATACCGTAATTTTTGCACTAATAATTACCGTAAAATCACAGAATCACTCTAATTAAATATTACTATAAAAATTACGGAATAATATTTTACATTCAAATTTACTGAATATTTTATATGTTGTAGTACAAAACATTCTGAACAAAGGTTCTAGTTAGAAAAAAGCATAAAAATAAATAGTTTCCGAGTTACGGAGCTTTAATTGTAAGAGGTATATGCAACGATCACTATGGTGAAAAATGCTTGAAGCGCGCACAGCATTGGTTTAGGTGAAAACGAAGAAGTAATGTTAGCTACTCATTGGGCGTTTTGACGTGCAACTAGCTTTTTCATTCTTAATCTAACTTTCAATGCTTAGTTAAAAGTTACCATTTTTTTTCCAGTTTCTTTGGTAAAAAAAAATGGTTAATGATGAAGCTCAGAAGATGAGTGTTTGCCTTCCAATGAAGTTTGCACTGATCATCATGCTGACGTGAAATATCCTCAGTAGTAGACAGATCATAGGTTAGAGTCCCCTTACCGTCAGGCTAACCACGGGAGGTTCGCGTGGCCTTCCTCTCCATGTAAAGCAAGTGCGGGTTAGTTCCCTCAGAAAGTCCTCCACGAAGGCAAATTTCTCCCAATACTTGATAAAGGAGTTCCGTCTTCTTTAGGATTTGGTTCAAAATTGCAAGGCTACGGAGTTGAACATAAGTCGTCGTAAACCTAAAATTGGGTCGGCGGTTCAACGACGGTTATAAAAGTAAAATAAACTTTCCTCGGTAAGTGCTCAAATTGTAACAGAGTTAGAGAGTTACTATTTATGGTTTTCGGCTTCGCATCTCGGGAACTATCATCTTTGGTCTTAGTGTCATTGACAACGTTTGATCAGAATGTTTTGAAATACAACATATTAAATTTTCAGCCAATTTGACAAAGAATTAATTTTCATAAAATTTGTGCGGTGCTTTTTATTTTTTTTAAAAAAATTAGATTGTAGACGAACTTTTGACCATAAGAAATGTATTTTACAAGAATGCACTTAAAAGAACTTTTGAAGCGCGTTAAACAACTGAATTGTTCATATTTGTTACAACTTTAAAATTTTGCGAAGTTTAACCATATTATTATACGTCCTAACTTTGATTACACATTACCATGGTTCAACTGGAATTTAAACATGATTCCCTTTAACATCTTTTTGAGGTTGTAGCGAATTTTCCCCACACTATAAGAAATTCCGGATCAAATAATGGTAAAAAGTACCGTCATGCATGTTGCAGGTATTTGTAACCATAAACTCCATGTTTCGAAATATTTTACGAAGCAAAACGTCTGATATACGGTATTTTTACCGTAATAATTACTGTAAAAATATTGAGCCACTCTAATTAAATAAATATTCCTGTAAAAATTACGTTGTAGTTTTTTTTACGGTAAAAACAGGCTTTAAGGTAAAATGGATTTTACGGTAAGGCTGATTTTACGGATGATGCACCCAAAGTTCCGGTTCTTTATATTGTAATTTTATCTAGAATTTTCTACTGTACATAATAAACTTCCAATATTTCACTTATAATTCTGTAAGTTTAAACTTCGTTTTTAATTGTTATTTTACAATATAGTACGGAATAGTATCTTTTTTTTACAAATCCATTTAATCTTCAACATTTTTAGAATTTATGTCTGAATTTCTATTTTAAAAATGCTATTATTACTTTTAAAACATTTCATATTTCATTCCATAAAAATATATTTTAAAGACTTCGAAAAGAAATCTTTTAAAAATCCATCAATTTATACAAAGAGATATATGTATGAAATGCTGAACAACAAAGGAAATCTTTATCCATCGGCTAATATTTGTTTATATTCAATTCTGGAACTAATGCTGCTGTTTCCAGGGTTGTAGTCATGTTTACCAGACCGTTAGTGATGAAAAAAAGACGAATAAGTCTTTTACCCAGCTTTTTGCTTTTCATTTTTTTTCTCTTTTTACTCTTCTTTCCTTTTTTCAAAAAGGTCTAGGCATGTCTTTTCTTTTTCAAGCTAAACGTATATTGTTTGCTTCCAGTTTATTGTTTACCTGGACATTTTCTGTTCATCTTTATTGGATGCATTTCTCTAAGATACTTTCTTTAGGGGTTCCCGTATTTTCCTCAAAAAAGGAATCTGCTCTATTCACTCGAACTAAGACGGAGATATTTTTTTGTTCCATATCAGTGAAAAGAAATATCCATGAGATTCTAAAGTAAGAAAGAATGAAACCTCACCCACAAAATCATAATAAACTAAGAAGATCGCAATATTTCGTAAAACGTTTTGATATTAAGTTATATAATTTATAAGGTAAATTAATAAATACTTGAGCACTTTTAATATCATCGGTAACTATATTTACATTATTGTAAAGAAAATTTAAACTTTATTATAGTTCACTCTTATCTCTTTTTTGTAGCCGATAAATAATGTAATTTATTGAATGATTTACTGCTTAAAACGAGTATAATATGTTTATGTTATATCACTCCATAAAACTATTTAATCTTGTACTGAAAGTACTCCAGACAGCTGGCAAGTGGAATTTTTCAATTAGACGGAGAGTTGAAACTTTAAACAATTTGAGTCCACTGATGATGTGATCATCGTTTATACTGGTACATCTTCTCCTAATTTCTTAATCACTTCAACAGTAGGATTTGAAATCACGACTTGTTTAATGAGCACCCTGTGCTGTAAGAAAGGGTTTCGCAAAGGTGCGTTAAAATAGATCAGAAACAAATATAGTCGAATTTGAAAACCCTATGTACTCGGAATTGAAACAGTGGATACTCATTTTGGGCAAAATAAATAGTTTCAGAAACGATGTGAAGTGAGAAATTAAAGAGAGAGAGATGTTGGCTGTCTGTTGCAATTGGGGTTAGAACGCCAGTTTCGTAGCAGGCTGTTCTAACCAACACTCTATGTTGTTGCATTCTAATCCAAGACATAGTAAGAAGCTTTATACATTGGCCACCGAAATGACACTTCATGACACGCATTCTATTCACTCAACAGTCAAAATATAACGAAATAAGAATATTACACTTAAAATATATAAAATATAACGTATCTACCACTACAAAATTACAACTACAATTCACTAGTATATAAGACATGTTAACTCGACTCTATCAGGATACCTTTCCATAGATGAAGGTTGACATTTTCTGTAACTATACTCCCTACATGACCATATTTTATAGATTTCAACCTTTTGAACGTTTCCAAATTTGAACCCATTATTTA